AATCCATATTTGTGGCCTTCTGGTCAACAGGTATTGATCTTCACCCAAAAATCCTTGCTAATTAACTCCATGTTTTATTTTTTGCTTATTTCATGAGAGAAAATTATTAGAGTGTAGTTATTTGTAACTTTTCATTGGATTAATTAACTTTATTGAAGGAAAAAGTGATGATATTCGTTCCCATATCTTTTATGGTTGATGAAGTTTTTATCATGTTTAATGATCTTTTGGTTTGCTTTTGTACTTGGTTTGTTGAAGTGGCAAAACCCAGATCTAAGCTCTACCAAGATGTGAAGCAAAGGCAAATACGGCATTGACAATGGAAGTGATTTCATTGGCACTATGGCAGTAATTCATTTCCCAATTATTGCTATGTAAACTAGTGATCTCTCTCTCTCTCTCTCTCTCTCTTGAATTTACTGATTTGCTTAAATATTCTTTGTCAATACGAACAATTAATTAAGATAATTATATATGATCAGGAGTATAATATTGTTGATATGTGGTTTTGCATTATAATTTGTCATGTGATTGAGAAATTGAGGTTGTGAAATTGAAGATTTCTAGAGAGAGATGAGAGATTCTACAGTTGAATTAATTGAGTTGTTGTTATTAATTCTTGTTCTCTAACTTAGGCCTCGTTTGTGAACATATTATTTCAGGCCTCGTTTGGGAACTCTCCTATTTAGTCAAAAAGTTACTAAATTAGCCAAAAAGCCACCAACCCATACCAAAAAGTCAAAGATTCTCTTTTCTCTCTACTTTTTGCACATCTTTTCATAAAAAGTTAAAAATTCATCCCAAACATACTAATTTTTTTTAGCTCATATTTTAGTCAAACAGCCAAAAAGTTACTTAATTAGCCTGTTCCCAAAATGAGGCCTTAGTAACTTTTTAGCTTTTTGGCTAAAATATGAGGTAAAAAAAACTAGTATGTTTGGAACGACTTTTTGATTTTATATGAAAAGATGTGCAAAAAGCAGAGAGAAAATAGAATTTTTGACTTTTTGATATATGTTATAGGCTTTTTGATTTTTTTAATAACTTTTTAACTTTTAGACTAGAACTATAACATGCCAAACGAGGCCTTAATTGTAATTTTATTAGAGTTTTGAATTAATCCAATGTATATAAAATATATACATTTTATGGTGAAATTGATTTACAATATTATTATTGCTTGCAGGTTGCCCAATGTTTAAGGAAGTGAAGATGCATTTATACTATGGAGAAGCAAATTCGAACTTATTTTGTTGAACCTGTTTTGTTGACTTAAGGAGTAGATCATTAGTTATGGTAGTTTTATATAGAAATGATGCAGATTCTGAGTTCAAATTTCTACTGGTAGGACGTCTCAGTTTTGTGGTGAATCCTGCAGAAGTTAGTGTGTGCTATACTTCAGTTTCACAGTAATGCCATGTTTGGTTGATTGGGTTGGCTAGTTGGACATCTCAGCTATGAATGCTCCAGCAATGGTGAATGCTCCAGCAAGCACTGATGTTCTGCTACTTTTGGGAAAGCTTCTAGCAGTGGTTGTTATGTTTCTTCAGCATTGTTGTTCTAGCAGTGGTTGTGATGTTTCTGTGTGGCTGTAATGTTGCTTGTGGTTGGTTTCTCTCTAACCTCTAGCGCCTCTTTTCCCTTCTTTATTGATGTAATTTCTTCTGTTTTCATCAATAAAGTTCTTTCTTTGCTAATCAAAAAAAAAAAAGTAACTAACTCTAACAAATTCAAGATTTTAACCTCCACAACTAACACACTTATAACAAAGATATTTATCACTCAAGTATATATAAAGTTAGAAACAAACAACACCTCAATTGGACTTTCGGTTAGGAAATTAGAAGCAAATTAGCAAAAGCCAAGCACTATGGATGAGCTGTGTGAATTGATCAAAATTAGAGTGGCCATATGAATGAAGTCAATAAGCATTAAGGAATCTCATTTCACAATTCATGACCTTATTTATAATTTGAGACATATTAGAGTTTGATTAGGTGGGAGGGTGGGGTAGTGGTAGAGCTGATCCTTGGCAGCTACAGCTGGTTTTGATTGGTTGAGGATTAGCTAGTGTGCTATTGGATGGTTCGTAGTTTCTCTAGTATACATTTGATGGACTGCTTGGTGGCTGCCCTTCACCTTGGATTTGTTTGCTAGTTTTTTTTGTTGTTCTATTTATTGGTTTGTTTGGTAGTTGGTGCCTTACCAACTTGGTGTTGTGCTAGCAAAATGCTAGTAACTTGGTGGCTGCCATTGTAAGAACAAAATGCACCCCAATTAGAATTCCTATTAGAATGTTAAAAAATTTAGGCTTAATTATAGCTTGTTTGGGGTTGAGATTATAAAATAGGCACCTAACCAACTAAAAATCAGCACAAGAACCTCACTAAAGTTTATATAAACTTCTAGAAACAAACCAAACCCCTATTGAACTCTTGGTTATAAAAGTCAAGCTAAATTTGGAAATTTTAAGTAGAAATACTCCAATTTGTATATCGTAGTTTCGAGACCAAGCATTTTATTACTAACATTCTAATATTGTAAATTTTTTTGTATGTTTGACAAATTGGCAATGGATGGAACATAGTTCGGAGAGCATTAGAGGATTATATTTTGAATTTTTTGATATATTTTGTCATAGGATTTTGTTATGAATTTACAAGCATGGAAGTTTTTTTAGAATTCATTGTGTACATGTTTGAAATTCCGAATTGTAAGAAATTTGTACTTATATTGGATTTTTTGGATTTGAGATTTGCTTATGTTTAATATGCTACTACTTTTAAATTAAGTTTATATTTTGGATGCTCTGACAAGTGTATTAATTTGTTTTGATTGCATGTATGTGAGAAATGATGCACAAGAAAAGTAAATTTGGGTTTGGATTTAAATTTTTTTTTTTTTTGTAGGTTTATAAATTATGTATTGAACATGCACTACAACAAAAATCACCTTTGGCGACTAAATTTTTAGTCGCCAAAAGTCCCTCTTTAGTCGCCAAAAGTGGATTTTTCAGATTCAGCGACTAAATTTTTTAGTCGCCCATTTTGTCGCCAGTACTTAGTCGGCAGAGGTATTGGCGACTAAACAAGTTTTAGTCGGCAAAAACAGGTGTTTCAGCGACGAAAGTGATGGTCGCCAATAGTGAATTACACTTTCGGAAATTATACATTCAGCGACTAATATTTTAGTCGCTGAATGTATAATTTCCGAAAGTGTAATTCACTATTGGCGACCATCACTTTCGTCGCTGAAACACCTGTTTTTGCCGACTAAAACTTGTTTAGTCGCCAATACCTCTGCCGACTATGCCAACACCTTTACCAACATACTCCCCCCACTATGCCACTTGAACCTCACATGATTATATATGCAATATATATTATTTATATACTATTTTGACCGGTATTCATACAAAACCATATATGTAAATATAATTATTTTTATTGAATATAATTTATGTAAAAAATAAATTATTTATTAAAAAAAAATTTAGGCCACTTTTGGCGACTAAATCAATTATTTAGTCGCCAATTCTATGATTTTTGGGCTACTAATTAATTTGTTGTCGCTAAAAAAATATGTTTAAATTAAAAATAGCACTTTTGGCGACTAAATCTGTTTTTGGTCGCCAAAAACGTCCCGGTTTGGCTACTAAATTGAAATTTAGTCGCCAATTCACTGTTTTTAGCTACTAATTTTTTTTTGTAGCCAAAAACTTTCATTTTCAGCAACTAATCTTTTTTTGGTCGGCAAAAGACCTATAATCGGCGACTAAAATGGTTTTTAGTCGCCAAAACCATCACTTTTGGCTACTAAATTATTTTAGTCGCCAAAAACCGTCGCTTTTGACTACCAAACAACCTTTAGTCGGTAAAACTGCTACATTCGGCGACCAACAAACAGTTTAGTCGCTAAAACCCTGGTATTCGGCGACTAATTCATTTTAGTCGGCAAAAGGCTTCATTTTTGGCGACTACATCCAGTTTAGTCGCCATTTGGTCAACTTTCAGCGACGAAATTCTGAATTTTAGTCGCCATTTGTGCTTTTTCTTGTAGTGATGAAATTGTAAAAAAATATATATCTATATAAATAATGAATTTTTGGTGACATTTTGTTTCCGTTGCTAAAAGTCTGTGAATATGATATGAATTTTTAGCAACTAAAAACTTGATTGGTCACTGGAAGACCTTTTGGCGACCAAACTTTATATGTCGCTAAACCTGATATGTCATCTGCTTAAGGCTACTTTTAGTGACTAAATGTTAATTTATGGCGACAAATTATTTGGTTTTTGGAGACTTAAATATTTGGTCACCGATTTATTTATAAGGCGACTACAATTTCTTTGGTCGCCGAATCATTTAGTGACATGACTTTGGTGACCATTTTTTTGGATCGCTAATACTTTTAGCAAAGGAAATTATACTTTTGGTGACTAAAAAAAGGTCACTAAAAGTGCTTTTCTTGTAGTGATTTGTGAGGGTATTTTTGGGATATGAAAAGAATAAAAAACATATGTATTCTTCAAATTTTTAAAATAATAGTAGATATTTAACAATATTGAATTTTATTAGTGGATTTAAAAGTAATTATTGGCTGGCCCCAAACCATGTAGAATTTTGGTCTAGAAAATAACTAGTAAGTCTTACTTTTTATTAAACAATAGCTTATTGACATGCGTACATGCACTAGAAACCCATTAAAACAATATTTTCTTTTCTTTTCTCTATCATATTGTTTAATTTCAATGTTCAAATAAGAAATCGGTTTGAGTTATACAAACTTTATATCTTTGTGAGATTGATATTAGAAGTTAGATTGAGCACATCATTCACATTAAATAACAATCCAATTCTGATACACCCAATATGTCCGCATTTTGTTTTCCACGTTTTCAAGACAAGAAACCCAATGAAATGATGTCCAATGCAATGTTTCCTCACTTTGGGGATATTGACAACAAAGTGGCAAACCCTTGTTCAGAAAGCTTCAGTTCTAAGGCAATATGATCTTTGTTTCATATACTAAACATCTTGAGAAAAGCACAAAGCAAAGACCAATGTGTGATGATTGTTTCCAAAATCAAAATGACAGAAAAACACTAAAGCAAAAATTAAATGATTTCACCTTCTTTTCTTTTCTTTTTTCTTGCCTTTTCTTGAGAATCAAACATAACTTAGTAGCAACAACCTTCTTTCACACCCCTCACAAAGAGAAAACCATGTCACCTACCTTAATCATAAGTCATCATAGTCCCATTTCCTTTCGGCTACCACTAATAATCTTATGTACTAAGGACAGTGAAACCAGAACTTGAAGACCCTAACATTGTTCTGTCACAATCCATACAAGTAAAAATCCTAATTTTCTGGGTTTCGAAAATAGACCTTAATTAAGTCAACTTTGTTCTGATCATTTTACATGACTAAGAAGTGCTAAACACCATTGATCATCAAAGTAATATAACAACATTAATGGGGTAATCAAGGATGACGTGTCGAATGTTGGGTTGATTCAACATAATGGGGCCAAGAAGGGTCAGCATGGATGGTGGTGAGGGGACATAAAGTATACTTTGGATGCTCCACATTTGCATGCTTTATTGATGCCCCCCAATATTCACCATAGGCCTAACAAGACATAATAGAGGAGGGTAACTGGCAAGGAAACTAACATGCCAAAGATAACCCTGCAAAAACAGAGGGAAGTGTTTAATTCAAGTATAATCTAATGCTAAAAAAAAATGCTAAAAAGAAACAGTAAAATTATTTGCATAGAAATTATTCACATAATCATTCACTTATTCTCGTATGTCATGTCTTAATGATTTATATGCCTGTAGCACAACTCAAAAAATAAGCACATTAACCGCATTAATTTAAGTAATCAACGAGATAAATGAACACTTTTTTTTTTTTGTTGATATTGATGGATAAATGAACACATTGAGAGGTGGATGGGATTGTAAACATCATAAATTTACAATCATGATAGTCATGCAACAATTCATTTTTAAAAAAAGTACACAAAAATGGTATGCAAAAATAGAGATAAGAGTGCGGGCCCACGCCATGTTCGGTGTACGTGCATTATTTATGTGCATGTATATGACTAATTTTATTAAAGTCTTTTGTGATTAATAGTTTAAGTATTTTAAGGTAACCATTATATTTGGAACAAGAATTATTATATGGGTCTGAAACACCATATGGTTGTGAGCTTATCCAATTGTATTTTGCTATTTTTCAATCACATTATTTATTTTTTAGATCATCTAAACATTCAATTCCTTATTAGTGAGAGAGTACATAGCCACATAATATTTCTAAAAGACAAAATAATTAATCGTATTTGGAGGTTTTGTCTTTCAGGGCTACTTTTGCTTTTTTCAAAGTCATGATTCCCAATCAAATTGTACTAAACATGATGCCTAATCAAAATGTCTTTTGTTTTAGATGACAATCACAAAACAATTTCAAATCACTTTTTGAAAAAAATGGTTCCAATAATTTTTATGGTAACCATAAACAATGTGAAAAGGTTTTGACATCCCAGGTTCCAAATGGTATCAGAGATCCCACATTTTGGTTAACAATAAATAAGATGTAAAATTCAAATGTAATTAAGTACTCCAAACTCGCAAATAAGGCAAGCAAAAATGTGATGAGGATTCTAACATACCCAGTACTTAGGATGTCAGGATGCAACCCATATTCCCTTGCAAAGACAAATGGTACAATCCCTTGTGGAAGAGCTGCCTGAGATTCAGTTTTTAGCAATGTTTTTTGTTTACAAAATATTGTCATATAATTAAGCACAACAATATGATATAGTTCTCTTTGAGGTATATATACCTGTACTATGGCCGTGTGCAGCCGATCTCCTCTAAGTCCGATAGCTACAGATGCAGCTGACATAAGTATCGGTCCTCCAAGGAACCGGATCACCATCCCTATTGTTGCCATTTTTATGCCACAAGCAATTATCCGTGGCTGAAGAGCCATGAACAGCCCTATAATTTTTTATTTTCAGTTGCAATTAAAGATATATTCAATACATTGAATAAATTGTTCACGTACAAGTAACATGATACTAACTATTTTCATCATGCATGTTAGCAACGTTAACGACAAGCCTTAAATAATCATTTTGCTTCTTCTTCTTCTTTTTTTAAAATTTATTTATTTATTTATTTTTAGTGCTAGTAATGTGCCATATTTGTACAAATGTATTTGCATGATGCAAATACATGTGTGAGTAACATATATGTATTTATGTTAATGAGGCTCGAATTATATATACCTAAACTGAACATGGCCATCCCAAGACCTGCATCAGAAATTATCTTTATGGAGTACTTCACCAAACTGGGCACCCCAACATTCCATCTGCTCAATTCATGAAAACCATGCATTTTACAAATTAATTAGTAAGCAGTAATATAAAAATAAGCAATTACAAAAGTAAAATAAATAAATAAATAAAGATAATTCAAAAGTACTTGGGGAAGTTTTGAAAGAAACTTACTTAAATGAGATTAGAGACCAGAGAAGCCCTAACACACTTGAGTATGTGTTTGGATTGCGAGAAAGTTTTCGTCCAACCATGATCAGTATCAGTCTTAGCATGACAAGGGCACTTGGCATCCCCTGATTGGTCGCTGCGCCCTTCGAATCTGCTTCTTCAGCCACAGGAAATTTCCCACAGTCTCTGAAGCTAAGATCTTTCTCTGAAGATTAATTAGATTAATGTATCATAGTCCATTTCCGCAACAATACCAAATTTTTTTCTAGTTACGCCATTGTTGTTGTCAAGAAAATAGTAAATTTGACCAAAGTAATGTACAACAACTATTCATGTTATAGTGATATGAGACAAAAAAATATTCGCAAAACATATTTATGTCACATCTATACATTCTGTGTTTAGAATTTTATGTTGGTTTAGACTTTTCCTCCGTGTTAATTGTCAACCTTAATTTTTTTCAAGAGTAATTTTCACGTCAGGTTTGGTGTGGGATGAATTTAATATTGTACAAATAGTCTTATGATAAATAGCAGTAAAGTTTTATTTTAAAATTTTAAATAAAATGATTCAGCACTCTATAGTGCTTTTGTTTTAAATTAAAATACTCATTATTGTTTCACATAATGGCCAAAATATCACTCCACATTATTTTATATAAATTTTATATGTATAAAAATTATTTCTTCATTTAATAGAGGAAAATATTAAAATTATAATTATTTTGAATTTATATTTTTTTCTCGTTAACCACATCTTAGCATGACCCTTGGATAAACGGTCCACTAGAAAAAGTTGAAGCTCTTTCCAATGCCATCATATATTGGGGGCCACAAGCATGCAATCATTTTTATTCTTTTTCTCCCATTTTCACTTTTTAAGGGCGGTAGAGATAATAAAACATAGGATTTAGTGGCCAACAATGGAATGAATAATGATATTACCAAATTGTCTTTACTATGAGACCAAGGCTATGTTTGGGATGTTAGTTTGAATTAAAATAGTTATATAAGATAAAATTGATTTTTTTAATTAAATAGAATAAAATATCATCTTTAATTTATAATCATTTTATAGTTTCTTTCATAAAAGTAAAAAAATCAAAAAATCTATCTTAAACGAAATTTTTTAATCTCAAATTAAAAAAATTAATCCACATCCTGAACTAAGGGTAAATGAGATTTATCAAATAATAACTCCAGCACTAGTCTACCAACACACACGTGCCTTGAAGCAATGATGTTACCTATCAATTAAGGATCTGACTCGGTTAAAATTATATATTGATAGAAAATTAGTGGAACTTTGACCATCCCTTTTTTATCTGGAGTAACAAAAAAATTATTATGTTTTAGTATCCAAGGTATAGAATCATGCTTTGTCAAGGGTAAAATTATTTCCTATCATTTGTAGCAATGTGGCATGTCAAACTTATATAAATTGAGTGATAAAATTATTAATAATATTGTCATATCACAATTTAGAATTAAAATAATAATAATGAAAAGAATAATAATATCCTTTAAAATAAACTCCCAAAAAAATGCCATTCAAATAAAAAATTTGAGAAACAATATGAAATAGTGAAATGTGGTCAGTATTTTTTTTTCTTTAAACCATTAAAGTTACGCATTTTAAAAGAATATTTAAAAAATAATTAAATCCTTAAAAAAATATAGATTAAATTCATTTTGATGTCAAATTTAAATTTATATTAGATATCTAAATTTTAGACATTTTGCTAGACATGTCATTTATTCAAAAAATAAAAATAAAAAAAACAATTCCACCGGGTCAATATTTTATGGGAGGAATTTACATACAAAATTGAGGAAATATCAATTTAGTCCAACTTTTGAAAAATAATTATATATTAATGATAAACTTTATAACATTAAAGAAATGATATCTTTTATTTATTCACAAAAAAAATAATAATAATAATAATAACTTTTTGCTTCCCACAACAAGTATAACTTTAGTTGTACATAATTTTTAAATATACATTATAATTTTAATACTTATAACTTTCAGTAAAAAAATAGTAACTTTAAACCAAACTAAGCTTTAAGTCTCATCAAACGGGATTTGTTACATGAATTCTTTTTCTTCACACGATTTTATCAAATGTCATTTTATTAGTCAAATTAAATAAATTCATATATCTATTTATTACATAATTTTTCAAAACTATCTTTTGGCTTTTAAAAAAAATATATTAATTGTCATAATTAATGAATTTAAAAGAAAGATAAAGTAAAAATATCATTTTATTTTACTTTTTAATTTTTGAAAATAGACTAATAAATTAAAATAATAAAAAATAAAATAAAGAATTAATATTTTGAAAAGGTAAAACATTAAGTGGTGTTTTGAGAAATTGGTAAAAAATTGATTTTTTGACTTTTTTAGTTTAATTTGTTTTTTTGTGAGTAGAAAATGTGAGAAGTGATATGACCTAAAATAGATAAAAAATTAAAAGTTGATTTTTTATTTTGTTTCCAAAAGACCCCTAAATTATAAACTTCTCTATAAATATAAAAATATTTTTTTAAAAAAAGAACTTTATATGCGATTTTTTCTAAAAAAAATTTACATGTAACACAATAACCTGTTCTGTCTGACCAGTTTCCATTTCATTGTCGTCAGTTAATTCAGTTGTTAAGAGCTGAGATCAGATCATCATGAGATCAGACAATGCTAAGCATAGAGTCAGATGAGAAGTAGACCAACATTTATGGATTCCTACTAGACAAAAAAAACGTACATTCGTGCAAAGCTGAAACAAAGCCATGCATGTGTCACTGTGTCTCTGATATTTTGGTGAATCTGATACTGACTCATGTGTTGACAACACCCAAAACGACATCATTTCACTCCCACCTTGTGACACTCAAAATACGACAACGTTTATATCTCTCTTGGGTCATGGAGTGTTGTGGGACTGTTTCGTACAAATTATTAGAGTTATTGATAATTAATTTTTTCTGAATTTGTGTCAAATTAATTTTTTTTTATTAATTTTATATTTTATAAAAATATTAGATTAAAAATTATAAATACACCTCTTAAAATTTATTTAAAATATGAATTGTTCCTTATTATGATTTGAAAAATTATAAATATCTCATTGTTAAAATTTTTTATTTAATAAAATTAACTGAAAAAATAAAATTATTAACTGTTCTTTTATACAATAATAAAATTACTTAGATTATTAATTGAAATAAATTTACGGTATCATTAAAAACTGTTAATTAATTTAAGATTTATTAACAAAATAAATAATTTATTATGAAATTAAAAACTAAAAAAGGCGGGATATAATTTTCTAAATTACAGGGAGTAAATCACATTTTAAAAAAATCTGAGAAGATGTATTTATAACTTACCTAAAATGTTATTATTTAGAAAACATTAATACTACAATCTTAGAAATTTATCTTAAATTTTACCAAAAAATATCAATATATGACTTAGATTTATTTCATGCTTATATTATTCAAATATCCATTTTTGTTTGAAATATTCTAAATAAGTGTACTTTTTGACTTTTTATAAAAAAATATGTAAAAAAATACAGAGGAGATATTGATTGATATGACTTAAAAAAGTTAAAAAAATAAAAGTGTGAACTTATTTAGTCTTCTCAAACCAGGCCTTAATCTCTATCACACAATTACAATACCAAAAAAATTATGAATTAAATTTACGAGAGTATTGGATTAAGAAAAATGCTATAAGTCTTAAATTTTCTATTAAATGAATGATTAAATATTTTACATGGGGTGAAGACTCTACACTAATATGAGATATTTAATCAATTATTTAGTAAAAAATTTGGTATCATAATGGATTAATCCAATTGTAATGTAACTTGTAACTTGAAAGCACACAAAACCCTATAGAGACAATGTCAGAGAGACTGAAAGGTGACAATACGTACCTCCAACAGCATCTTTGCACCCCCCTCGTCTCTCTCCACCACCACCACCCTCATACTTCTCCGGCGACTCCCACACCATTTTCATCCCTGAAAATGCCGGAGAAGGGTGCCGGAAAACCTTCCCGGCCACCGGAGATCTGACCCACGTTGGCGTGTTCGCCATAGTGATGTCCAATTCGTTAAAATTGGAGGCCCGTGGCGTCGGCTGGAGCGAGTACGCGTCGGACGATGCGTACCCAGATAGCCGAGGACTCGCGGATCGGTACCCGAAAGCTAGATCTCCGAAAGAGATATCATGCTGCGGCGCCGGAGTGTGGACGGAGTAGACTTCGGCGCCGGAGAGATTGGATGCCCGGGGAGTGATTCCGATGGAGGAGGATAATGCGGAGTCAGGGGCGGAGGATGTGGAGCGTCTGATGCGGACGCGGATGCGACCGGTGCCGTCGATTTCGGACTCGGTACGAAGTGGGTCCCGGCCGTCGAGGGAGATGACGTCGCCGTCGATTTCGAATTTCGAGATGGAGGCGGCGGTGGAACCGGGGAACTGGGTTTGGATTAGGATGGTGGCAGCTCTATATTCAAATAGGAATAGCAACAATGTATACCTGCATGTAACACAAAAATAAATTTATGTATAGACCTACATTTGTATTATCATATTCAATTATATAAATAAAACTATATATATTATACACACTTTTAATAAATTTCATTCACATACTTATTATATATGTTATTAGATAAAAAATCAATTATTAAGATGTTGAAAATTGAACCCCTACATCTTCTTCATATGCACACTATTTCACAAGACCATGGGCAACTTATTGTACGTTATGGAATAAATTTGATTAATACATTTCAAATTTTAAACATTTTTTACATATTATATCAAATAAAACAAAAAGTTGATTGGTTACTTTTGTTTTGTGCTTATTTGTATGTTTTGATTAATTTTCACCTAGCTTTTTAATTACTTTATGTAGAAGTGTTTGATGCTTTTATATTCTCCTTTCAAACTTTTCAGCATACTTTTGTACAAAATGTTTAGCTGAGTAAACATTGAATAAAGCTGAGAAAGATAGAGCAAGAAAAAGACCCAACGTGTTGTGTGAGAAAAATAAAAAATAAAGTAACCCTAATATTGTATTTCGATCATCAATTTAGATAAATAATTTAAAATTGAAGGAAAAAATGAGAAATTTTTTCGAAAATTTTTTTTGCCTATACCTTTCCAAATTTATAATAAAAACACAAACTAAATGAAGAAAAAAAAAACAGAGTAATACCAGATTATGCATTGAAGAACAACCAGTTGGACCATGAGGCTCTGAGTGAAGTCACCATACATGGCCCTAAGCAAAGGAATACCCATGACAAGTGTGTTAGGCAGAGTAGCAACTGAGAATAGAGTGATCAACCAGTCTAAACCTCCTTTAAAGATAGCCCAAACTGAGAGCAAAGCAAACACAAAGAGCTTAGACAGAGTATCAGCCAATATGAACTTGGTGTCCATTTGGTATGGATTGTTCTGAGATATGAAGTGGAAAGATAGCACCGGCACGGCGAAGACTGCGACGAACCGGTTTATGCCGGAGCACTGTTCTGGAGTGAATATCTTCCACCATTTCACCGATGCGTATGCGATTAGCATTGCGAAGTAGAGAGGAACCATTGCACACATGACTTTGTAGAAATCATCTGCACTTATCATTTTCTTTCTCCTTCTCTTTCTCTTTCTCTTTCTCTCCTGGTTTGGATGTTGTCTTACTTTAGGAGAGGTGGAGGTGTTTATATAGAAACTTTATGGACAAGAATGCCCCACTTAAAGTTGTTTATTTACTTTAGGAAATAATTTACAAATAATTTTAAATAAAAAACTCTATAAAAAAAATGTGGTAGTGATATTCTTAAATTTATAAATCAAAATGATGGATTTTTTAGTTTGGAATGAAATGATCATAGTTGGTCGTATCATTTTGTATTTAAATTATACATCAAAATTATATTTGTATATCATCACTTAACTTGTAAGGTTAACAGTATGAGTAGTAATTGAAATAATTTTTATTTTTGCCAAAAAATCAAGTAATTTTTTTTCTTTTTTATTTTTAGGGAGAGAATAAGGGAATGAAAACCACCATGTCACGCAGCAAGACTTAAACTTAAGGAAGACCTTTTAATACTTTGGAATATATTTTTTGATAATTTGGTATGTGGTTCATTGAACCGATTAATTCAAAAAATCAATTTCATTGTCTACTAGCAAGAGGCTTAATTAAAATCAGAACAAAGTTTTATATGAATCGATTCTAAGAAATTATTTATACTTAAAAAGTTTCAACTATGAAAGTATCGAGAGAATTCAACCCAAGGTCACATGACATCAAAGTAAGTTAATAAACAAAAAGTTGTATCAAATTTATTAACACAATTACAAATATGTTACCATCATATCATTTTAAGGATATTTGTATTAAGCTTGTTCGTGTAACATTTTTCCCTTAACCACACGGCCAATCTTATGATATAGTTGTATACGAGTCTATTTGGTATCATTTAATATATTTTTTGTTTGTTTGTTTGTTTGTTATGTTTGTAAAAATAAAAGCAATGAAAAGGCCAAAAACATCATTTGAGAGAGTAATTTATATGAAAATTGGGCCGAGCTGGGTAATGGGCCGTTATGGGCCACAGTACGAAAGGCTTAGTAAAAAGGCCATAAAGTTACTCCGGTCCAAAGGAGACATGAAGTTACTCCGGTTAAAAGGAGGCTTAAAGTTACTCCGGTCCTAAATGAGCCTTGAAGTTGCTCCGGTCCCAAAGAGCTTACAGTAAGCTCGGTCGTCACACACAAAGTTATCCCGGTCGGAACATACCATGGTTAGCACTGGGAGAAACCGACGTGAGAGCAATGAATGGAAGAGCCGAGTTAAAGTTATCTCGGTCTAGTCTGCGGCTTTAGCATGGTCATGTTAGCTCGGTCGTATTGACATCCAACCGTGGTAAATCATCTCACTTGGTTTAAGCAGTGAGGGGATGTTGAAGGATAAGCATTATCTTTCAGGAATGTGATTCATAGGAGGACTCTACATGGAAGAGTAAGAGTCCTACTTGGATTGTATAAAAGCTCATAATATCACCTATGGAGAGGTAACACAATTTTGATTCTTGAATACACAGAGCTTTTTGTCTATTTGTCTATTTTGCTGACTTAGGCATCAGAGAAGTATCCGGCACACATCCGCCGGCTAGCTCACGTTTGTGTTTTCAGGGAGTAAAGCGACGTCGTATGGAGGAGCGCGATCTTGATCAACAGGATTATACGAGAAAGTTTATTTCTTTCCCGTTCATCATTGTTTTCATATCACCATTGTTTTTGTATGAAAACAATTTTAAAAAAATCAAGAAACAAAAAAAAAAAACAAAAAAAACTACAAACATAGAAAGTGCCCAACAAATGTCAAGGAAATAAAGTGTATAATATAGATTTAAATTTAGCATGAGTTAAAAAAGCCAAACACGTCCTAATATTCAGTGGAAGGGGTTGCTCATTCTAAATAATTAGCCAATATCTTGAGATTGTGTTTGGATTATAAATTTTAAAAATATTAGAAAATAATGATGAAACAAATATGAAAGAAAAATGTAAGTGTTAGAATGGAACTTACTACTTAAAAAAATTAAAAATAGAAGTGAATGTGAATGATGGAATGTTGGCAACAATGCTGCACTGAGAAATATGACCCGTGTTAGGCAAGAGATGAAATAATATATTATTTTTTAAATAAAAAATTATTTACATTCCATTTATTTTTTCACAAATAAAAAAAAAACTAAATATAAATTTCTTTGTCGTACATTAATTAGTTTCCTCTTTTCATCCAAATAATAGTCATTAATCAATATACATGTGTTTTCAAATTTTATTTTTAAAAGTGGTGAAATTTTTTTTGAACTAAATTGTTGATTATTAATTTTTTTTTAATAATCAACAATAAATTTATGAATAAAAAGCTACGAACATAGAAAGTGTATAACATATGTCATGGAAATAAAGTATATAGGGTAAATTCAAATTTGATGTGTGATAAAAATAAAAAATAAAAAAAAAAGATTAATGATTCGTCTACAATTTTTTCCTCCCGAATCTCCCCTAATCGGTAAGAGTCTCATTTGGAAAATTCAAATGAAAAATTTGTGTAGATAAATCATTACTGAGGAAAAAAACCAAACACACCCTAAAGGGATTGCAATTTCCAAGTAATTGGCCAATACTAGTTTGTTTATGTTAGAATGGAACTTATTACCACAAACTAAATAAATAAAATGGAAGTGAATTTGAATGATGGCAACAATGTTGCACTAAGAATATAAATAGGGTTTAGCTTCCCTCCAGTACGATCTAGAACTGGAGGATGCTATTGAGCCTATGAGATTCACTGCGGGTCCTTGTTTTAATAATACGAACCGTTCAATATATAAAACTCGTCGACTTTTATATGATTGTAAAAAATCACGTTGATTGGATATCGATAGTTATGTGATCAAATTAATTTGTATAAAAAAAAAATAGACGGTTAACAAATTAACGATTGATAAAAACTTATTCGATGAGATGGCTATCAATATCCGATCAACGTGATTTTTTAGAGGCATATAATACTTGACGAGTTCTACATATTGAACGGTTTGAATTATCGAAACGGGACCCATGGTGGGCTTCTATGGGTCCAACAGCATCCTTCAGTCTGATCTAGGACTGGAGGGAAGCGGCTCCCTATAAATATATACTCTCTTGGAATGATTATTTAGGGAGAAAGGGGTACTGCTATGCTCTTTGTGAGAAGTCGTCTTGTGTGTTTTTCGATAATCTGAACTATTCAAATTGTAGGATTCGCCAAGTAGATCATTCATACAAAAAATCAAGTTGATTAGATATTTGTAGCCCTATAACCAAAGTACATTTGTTTTTATAAAAATTAACAGTTAACATAACTTTTATAAAGTTTTAAAAACAATTAGGACCTAATCATGGGATTATGAATATCCGATTAACTTGATTTTTTATATGAATAATATTCTTAACGAACCCTACAATATGAACAGTTCATATCATCGAAACTCGGGACAATCTCCCACAAAAGGCACAGCAGTAACTGTTGTGCCTTAGGGATAACAATACCCCCTTCTCCACTATTTAGTGGTCTTCAAGTATTATTCTACACCATTTAACATTTAACATTTTATATTTGTCGTTTTATTTTTTAAATCTTTGAAAAAATACGTGATTCGTGATTCGTAACAAATTTAATTGCAACAATTTCCAAACAATCAAAACTAACAATCTAAATCAACAAGTACGTACGAAAGTGATTTAGATTGTTGTCTCACAAATAATAAATCGATACAAACGATTTTTACGTCGAAAAAATCACAGTTGGAGCACCTCCAATTGTGATAAAAAAAAATCACAGACGAAACGCCACTAATCAATCCAATATGAAGAAAGAAATAATACAAATTTACCCAACCTCTGCAAACTTGCCTTCCACAATTTGTGTCTCTTTCACTAACGCCTTCATCTCGGAATTGATCAGCTTGATGTCGAATTCATAACATCCATGTCGAATCAACGGCCACAAGCAACTTCGAACTTCTTCAAAGACTCTACGCTTGAATCTCCGGAATCCACCGAAGAAGAACACTCTTGTATTGAACAATCAAACAACCCTTTGATGTATATTTATCAAACCATGAGTTAAACCCAAACAAACATCAAAGAAACTAGCAAAGATACTCCAGAAGAAAATCCTAATTCCCTAAAAGAAGATCTAGGAGTTGTGACCTAGAATTGCACTTGTTTGTAGCTTTATTTATTTATTATCAGCAAAAAAGCACTTTATTAATGAGAAAACATACATTACACTTGTTTGTAGCTTTATGGCAGACAGATTCGCGATCACCGCTCGAGCGCAAGAATGGCCGCTCGAGCAGTGTGACTCAAACGCGTGTTTCTGAACAAGGATCTATGCTCGAGTGTTAGAATGTTCGCTCGAGCGTAAAAACACAACTCCCAGTACTTTTGCAAAGAAACAAAAGTTCTAAGAATGTTGATTTTCTGCTCGAGCGTAGCTTTCACCGCTCAAGCTGTAAAGCCAAAAATAGAGGAAAAAATTACAACTTTCAAATCAAGTTTGTTCGTGGAATTGGCAACATGTAGGGATCTAACAATCTCTAGGTTTGGGAACAAGAGTCCAAACTTTGTTACGTTCAAATTGACCTAATTCTTCATGCATAGTATTGACCCAACTATCATCTAGTGGGACCTCTTTTATATTCTTAGGTTCAAGTAATGAAACATAACACATATGAGGTACCTATTCTCAAATTTGTTTTCGGGTTTTCATTTGGTCTAAGACATTTCAAATCACCTATTAAACCGGATGATTCAATTTTACCGTTACTGATGGCTTCAAACCAGAATTGGTAATGATTTAAGCATTGGTGGTATCTCTTTGTGTACTTTTTGGACTAGGACTTGCCATAGGGGTTAGTGCTGGTTCACCTTTTTGAGCTTGACCTTGCGCTTCTCCTTGACATTAGGGCTGGGCATAGGGTTATCCGATCTGCTCAAACCGCCCTACCCGAACCGAACTGCACGCGCGTGGGCAGTTTCGCAAACACATTAGGGTAGGGTGCGGGTTAGATTTTATATAAATTTCGGGTTGCGGGTTTGAACCGCACCCGCCCAAACCGCCCG